TTTTCTGTTCACTTTGAACAGTATATTTTTGGGAAGTGACTGAGATGAGAAAATTGTTCAAAATATAAAAATGATTATCATTTTTTTCCCTATTTTTCTTAGTTAAGTTCATGAAGCACTTTGAAATGTTTTGTATGAAAACCAACTCTGTGGACATATCTTTGCTCAGGATAGATAAGAACTGCCTAAATTCTGAATATAATATCCAATTGTCTCTATGATCTGGCACATAAAAATAAAATGTTTGCCTAAGTGCCACTCCTGTGGTGTCATCTTCTGCTGAGGCTGTTAGGATGGTGGCACTTTCTCACCTTCCTCTGCAGCTGTCTCCTCCAGGACAAGTTGTGGGGATTCAGAAAGCTGTTCTCCTAACTCAATACAGTCATGACACAGGCCAGCCAGGCCCCAGAACTCTTCATATGGACACATATTGGCTTGTCTGTCCTGGGATATCTGATTGCATGTTGTGAGCTTTCATCAGTGGTTAATTTGACATCTGGTTAAAGCAATAAGCATTACAAGCCTTCCAATCTCTGTAAGAATAGAAGGACAAGAGACCACTCTGCAGATATCTGGCTTGTTCCAGGGTGACATTTATGTCGGCATCTGGAAAGAACCCCTGTGAATGGAATAGCATCCTCTGTTCCCCTCAGTCCAGTCTTGGCTTTTGTGAGACCAGAGGCACCTCCACCCCCTCCACCACCTTCTTGAAGCTGCATGTGCAGTGGGCCAGCCAGCCCTGGGAGAATGCTGGACATGAACTCTGGTTCAGGGAATCAGACATGCCAGTCCTCTCCAAGGGAAACTCTGCTTATTTATCCTGGGGGTGTAGGTCCCAAATCCACTCCCCTTACCATTAGGTCCACAGGCAGCAGATTTCGTGGACACCCCATGATGAACTTCCTGGCCCTGGTCTTCTGCCTTATAGTGATGTTTTTTCATTGTAAGGACATTTTGCACTGCAGATCATGAGCTGGAACTTTGTGCCATAATGCAGAGACCATGTACTCAAATGTGCCATGCATACTACAGTGTAATATGAAATGTTGTTTTGACTTAACTCTTATTAAGAAAACAAACCACAGAGTCCAAGTCTAACAATGAGGCAGAGGTGAGTGCAAACAGCCTTAATTTTGTCTTCTACCTCCCTAACAACCACAGAGCACTCTGTCCCTGTTCCCCACGACAGGTCCACCCTCTTTGAGAGGTTCATGGATTCAAAACTCACTGACAGATTAACATCAATATGAAGAAAACACACAACAAATTTTATTATTTAACATGTTGGGAGGATGCAAAGCATGGGGGAATCAAAAACTAGTGATGTCCTAACTTTCCACTGGGGTACAGACCTTGTACACCCATCTCCGTAGGGAAAGGGGAGATGGGTGTGTAGGAACAAATGATTCTTCGTGGTGTTCGGTGGGCCTAGAGATCATACTATGGTCTGAGACAATGTCCGTTTGTCTCCCAGAGTGGAAAATGACTGGTAAATGATTTTCCTTAAAATACTGAATGGGTTCAAAATACAAGACAATGGTCTGTGACAAAAGTTAGTCCAGGTGTGATGACAGACTCCTGCCTTCCTTCCTGTGATATGAGTTAAGGTAATGAAAACTCAGAGAAAGGACCAGAGTTCATTGTCTTCTTTTACGGGTCCAGTCTTTAGACAGATAAGGAAACAGGTTCATCCTGTGCTTGGAGAGTGACAGAGAATGAGGTTGGGATCAGAGAGACTTTGAGGCTGCTTTTTGATGCATGTTGAAGCACCATATCTTGGAATAACAGCTTTCTGCACCCCAACATCACACTCATACCCTTTTCAGGACTCTCTCTGAATCCTCCTTGCTGTGAATCCTGAACTATCCACCTTCCTGTAAATCCAGCCCTAATTGTCTGGAAGTTTTGCTTTGTAAACTCTCAAACACACCTCTGGCAGGAGCTTGGCTCAATCAGTCAGCATCATCCCTGTTCAAAAAATGACAGTGGAGGGGAAACCTGCAAACACCATCTTGGTGTGGACAGGCTTCACATAATGCCCAGGTTCTATGTCTTCTCCCACTGTCCTTGTCTCTTTCTTGAAAAAAATTCTACTTCGATGTCCATTATGTGTATCAGAGCTTGGGAAAGGGAAGTATTAAGGAGAGGAGGAGGATTCCTGGTCCTTAGGATGTAAAAAGAGAAGACAGGAAGAGAGTAGAATTTAAAAACTCTTCAAAGTGGTTTGTGCTTGTGTAGACATGGACATAGCATGGCCAAGATGCAAGGGGAGGACATCGCTTACTATGTTTAATTCCCTTCATGACTCAGTCTCTCCACAAACACATTCACACACACACATGATAATACTTGTTCTCCCCTAAAGAGCTGGTCTAAGGACTAGCTGGACTCTTCCCCTTACGTGTCTTTTCTGGATAAGTTAGAATAATTTTAGAAGCAAGTGAAAGAAACTACAGCAGCAACAAGAGTTCTGAAAGGTAAAGCATTTAGGGTTGGT